GGGTTATATTGGGGTAAGGTTATATTGGGGTGGTATTTACAGCAGGGAATGAGGGCTTAGGGTTTCGAGCAGTGTGCTTCCAGCTGCAGGGCTTCCTTGGGATTGCAAAGAAGGGAGTCCATGCAATCGGATGGCAAACGGGGTTTAGGGGCAACGGATAGATCATGGTTGAAGTACAGGACATGGGAGTTTGCGTAAATAGAGAGACCATCTATCCCAATACACTATAACCCTTCTTTCACGCACCCCATAAAAGGACCCCTCACTTGTTGGAAGCCCTCATATGAGGCTCAAAGGGACCACTTGTGAATTATAATGTTTTTACACGTACGTAGGTATAATATTTCATGAACTATAAAGTTTTTACACGTACGTGTACAAAAAGCATTATAATTCATTTTTTGCACGTACGGATTTCGGTGCTGTTGGATACACCTGCTTTGCAGGGTTGCTGCTCTTTAGAGTGGTAGTCCTCCACATGAAATAGACATGCTTCGTCGTCCTAGTGTGTCTTTAGGCTGGATACAGTAGAAAGTTCCCCCCTTCATTGTAATTGTAGTACTACTATATCTTGAATAACCGCCCTGAATGTGACTCTCATAGGGCGGAGCAGTATAATTGCAAGGTTTGGGTTTCTGCAGGTTTCTATCTACCTAAAGACGAATATCGCCTTCGTGGTCTTGACTCCGAGCAACACTCGTCTCACAGTCTGATGGATGCCGTGCTTAATCTGTGTTGGTAGCGTGTTACAACCAAAATGCTCCTGGAAGGAGAGATCAAGTGCAGCCGCCCAGCAAATTCAGTGGTTGTAAGCCGTACGTAATTATTATTGCCAGAGATCCACGTTGGGCGCCTGCAGCAAAACTCCCAAACCCCGCTATAGCAGCACGGAAAGCCCAACGTCTTTCATAATGAATAATAATAGTAATCGTATAGAATTTGTACTTAAAAATAATGAATAACAACAGTTAACAATAATAATAGTAACAATAGTAATAATAGTAGACAACACTAATAAGAATGGTCGTTAATATGTATACAACATTGGGCAGCTTCATCTTGTGGCTGCCAAGGCTCTTCGCCGGTGCCAAGCTGTGACTGGAGTTCGTCCCACGGCACCTGGACGCTTGGGGCAGGGTTCAGGGTTTAGGGTAGGCGAAAATGAAGCTGCGGTCATGGAAAAACAGTAACATTTGCAGCAGCAGCCGCGGCGAGGCCGCGGTTTCGTGGTGCTGCAACTAATGCTAGCAAGAATGGCAAATGTCCAAGCCATAGCGGCAATAATTTCACAAGTCCAAGTACAAAACCAGAGAGTAGGAAAGTAGAGCCGCAGTCTGGTTCATATACGAGGCAGCGACGGGCCGCAACCCACAGCGCAAGAAGTGTACCTTCCTTTTTGTGACTGATGTGAGGGATGCCTCCCTCTGCATTGATGTGCAGTGGTAGTGCAAGATGCCTAAATGCCCTTTACTGAGTCTATGTGGGCCATAGTCTAAACTCCGAGTATCCCCCTTAATAACCCCTGGTAGTCCCCCATATAACCTTGTTGAGACTTGTTTCGACCATAGCTCACGTAAGCCACAGTCGAAACTCAAAGGATCCCCCTGAACAACCCATATAATCGTCCCCTATATAATCCCCTATAGAATCCTCTATGCAACCCCCTTTAGGGAGTTTAGACCATAGCCGATAACCCTAAACCCTAAACCCCTAAACCCCTAAACCCTAAATCCTAAACCCTAAACCCTAAACCCCAAAATCCTAAACCCGCATAATAGTCCCCCATATAGTCCCCCCTTAAGGAATTTAGACCATAGCTCATGCTAAGAATGTCACAGGGCAACCCAGGTTAGGCTCCACCTTGCCTAAAACCATCTAATGGGTTTAGGGTTTAGGGTTCAGGGTTTAGGGTTCAGCATCTCAAGTACAAGCATACCCTAGTAAAGCAACGAGATCAAGTTCCAGAGCAATACCCACCCGCCCATAGGGTCCCCTAACATCAAAAAAATAAAAAGTTCCACACGGCATCGTCTCTACACAACTCACCGTGTTTGCAGGCTTCATCTGTTTTTGCCACGCGGCATCGTCTCTACACAGCTCGGAAAACCTTAACGCAACCACATAACCTTCACTTAACATCAAGGCAATCATTTGGTGATTTCATTTTGTATACAGGGGAGGCTGGCATATAGAACGTTCATTAAGCGATGCTACGCATCTGGAGATGGCTAACCGCCAAGTCAAAAAATAAGATGATTGCGGGCTTTCCCTTTGATTCCAAAAGCAGAAACCCTTCGAGATTTCTGTTAAGCAGGTATGTTACATATCAATATACGAGATTGATGAATTCCCAGGCACAATAGTCGGATGATATTACTAGTTCATCGTCGCGCAACTCAGACGCTGAAGATGCTTAAGTTTAAAATCAATATGGAACAAAAATAGACACGTAAATACTTGGTGGGTTCTCATGTGCAAAATGCGCAG